CGTGCTAAATTGCCCCATAGTGCCCAGGGATGTGCGGGTTAGGGTGGATTGGCCGTGCTAAATTGTCCCAATAGTGTCCAGGGATGTGCAGGTTAGGGTGGATTGGCCGTGGGAAATGCAGGGTTGCAGGGATAGGGTAGGAGTGGGTCTGGATGGGATGCTTTTTGGGGGTGTGGGGGGGGAGGTCAGTATGGATGCGATGGCCTGAATGGCCTGCTCCCACACTGCAGGGATTCTATGAGTAAGGGAGAAATTGTTTCCGATTGTGGATGGGCCGTTGACTACAGGGGACACAGATTGATCAGAATTGGCAAAAGAACCAGAGTGGGAGAGGAGGAGAAACATGTAAGATGTGGTCACTAATGGCTGCAATTATGTTCTGGGTAGTAAGTTAGCTTTGGAAAAATACAAATCAGGGTCATCATATTTATCACTCGACCAACATCAGCAACGTAAAAATCGACAACAGATGATTTTGCATTTCCCGAGTGGGAAAGGTTAGAGGAATAGGCTGTTCACCCCATTGAGCCTGCTCCCCCATTCAGTGGCTGATCTGATCATCCTCGACCCCACTTTCCTGCCCTTTCCCCCCTCGACTCCCTTTCCTGATTAAAAATCTAGCTCAGCCTTGAATCTGCTTAATGACCCAGCCTTGACTGCCCTCTGTGGTAAAGAATTCCACAGATTCACTCGCCCCGAGAGAAGAAATTCCTCCTCATCCCTGTCTTCGAGCCCTTACTCTGAGATGATGTCCCTCTGGGTCCTAGACTCTCCCACAAGGGGAAACAACCTCTCCACACCTACTCTGTCAAAGTCCCTCTAAGAATTTGTGTTTCAATAATGTCGCCTCTCATTCCTCTAACCTCCGACGAGTACAGGCCTTCCCTCCATTATATTAGTCTCCCCATTCTTCCTGGGATCTTGCTCTGCCCTTAGCTTCCTGCTGTGATGGTACTTTGGACAGGTACCTGGTGGGCGCGGGACGTGGGGTGGGGGGGTGTTGGTTGTTGGTGACGGGTGCTGACCGAATGCAGATCTCCCTGGAGGCCCCACTTACCGTCAGCAGGTTGACCAGGTCCATGCTGGGCTCGATGGGGGGCGAGGTGGACTGGATGCGGATGAGGTCATTGAGGATGGTGTACAGCTGCTGCATCTTCACCACATTGAGGCGGCCCTCCTCCAGCCAATCCGGGAGGGCCAGGTGGACGGCCAGCAAGTCCTTGAGGTGCACGCCCAGAATGGGGAACTTGAAACCCGAGGACTCAGCGAAGCACTTGCGGTAGTTACTGTAGTTCCCACAGGTCGTCACCAGCTCCGTCAGACTGTCGGAAATCTGCGAGGGACAGAGGAAGGGTCAGGCGGAGTCGGCGCAGGGTCTGCCCGCGCAGCAAACCACCCTTTCCCGCTCGGAGCTCATCAGCTGCCCGGCCCTCAAGAGAAGGGGAAACCGCGATATTTAGCCAGCTGTGTGGGCACCATTTTGTATCATTAGAGGCGCCCTTGGGGAGAATGCACCCGCTCATGATGACTGACAGTTAACCACCAAGCTTTGTGAAATTTGGAAACCAGGCAGGGTCAGCTCTCACTTGTCAGGGCCTTTCTCTGAGAAGCGAATCAACAAATTACCATCACCGCATCTGTGGAACTGGTTTAAGTTTTGCAAAAGACCCTGGTGAGGGGAGACTTCAACAAAATGTGTCCCTTCTCAGCATCGATTTATTTAAACATTGCAGGCTGCTCCAGCAAAGATGTCATTAAACCTGAAAGGGTTCAGAAAAGATTTACGAGGATGTTGCCAGGGTTGGAGGGCTTGAGCTACAGGGAGAGGATGGGGCTATTTTCCCTGGAGCGTCGGAGGCTGAGGGGTGACCTTATAGAGGTTTATAAAATCATGAGGGGCATGGATAGGATGAATAGACAAGGTCTTTTCCCCCGGGGTAGGGGAGTCCAAAACTAGAGGGGCATAGGTATAAGGTGAGAGGGGGAAAGATTTAAAAGGGACCTGAGGGGCAACTTTTTCACGCAGAGGGTGGTGCGTGTATGGAACGAGCTGCCAGAGGAAGTGGTGGAGGCTGGTACAATTACAACATTTAAAAGGCATCTGGATGGGGACATGAATAGGAAGGGTTTAGAGGGATATGGGCCAAATGCCGACAAATGGGACCAGATTAATTTAGGATATCTGGTCGGCATGGACAGGTTGGACCGAAAGGTCTGTTTCTCTATGATGCTGTGACTCTATGGCTCTAAGTTTGACTGAAATATTTCACTGGATATTCAGGGTGTGGATCACGGAGGATTTATAATGTCGATTCACAGAGAGACTTCACTGTGAGAACCCCGTCTCTGTCTGGTGCGCGGTTCACGAGGAAACTGTCCTCTCGGCTCCTACCTTGATGACATCAGGACTGACGTAATGATATGTTTCCTTCAGGCGGGAAATAGCGCTGTGACTCAACCCTCCAATCACAGCCATGAGGGTGTTATAGTTCTGTAACTGCAGCAGTCTCTGCAAGGGACACAACACAGAGTGAGAACAAAATGCACAAGGAGCTTTACTCTGTATCTAACCCCGTGCTGTCCCTGTCCTGGGGAGTGTTTGATGGGGGACAGTGTAGAGGGAACTTTACTCTGTATCTAACCCCGTGCTGTCCCTGT